ATACATCATACAATACAGCACCCTAACCACAAGTACTCGCCCGTGAGTTTATATGAGTAATTGTCTGAGGGTCTATTTTTTTATTGATAAACTTAACCAAGCTGCACAGTAAAAATTAGCCGAAGCGTTAGTGTCATGTGCGTTCAGGAGACTGAGGGTGAGAAAGAAATATATATATATATGTGTGTGTGTGTGTGTGTGTGTGTGTAATGTATGTGTGTGTGTGTGTATAATGTATGTAATCGGCTGGACCAAATGTAACTTATCGCAGCCGCAGAATGACGGGTAGTGCCCCGAGTGACAAAGAAAAAAAAAATAGAAAAATTGGGGCTGACACCAAAATTTGTAGAATGGATTGTGTGTATTTATGTGTGGCGTAAGAAGGAAATGATAATAGCGATTCATCAGCGGCTCACAATCGCAACGAAAACTGCCCTGCAATCGGCAACGCCTCGTTTCGCCGCGCGCAGGAAAGGAAAAAGAAAAAAGATCGACAAGAGATCGATTTCCTGTGCCGCAACACAGAGCGCCGAACGTATATCACCAAGTCGCCAAGTCGAGTGGCACGCGGTGAAATAAAAAAAAATATATTTAAAAAAGAGAAGTATAGACGAGAGAACAAGAGATCGATTTCCTGTGCTGCACAGTCACCGTCGAGTTGCGTTCAGGAGCCTGTTTTATATTAAACGCCGCGATATAAATGTGCCGGCAAATTTGCCATGATATTTTCTTTTCCATGGGACCAGCATCGAAACCGGAATAATTTTGTCGAAACCATTTTGTCTCGATATTAGAAGCAAAAGAATCACTTTTTCGCATCTGAAATGTCGAGAATTGAACTCGAGGTTGCACCGATCTTGGAATTCGCAGAGTGCAATAGCCGGCCAGTGCCGATCATGTGAGAATGTTTCGTTCGCGATAGATATATCGAAATACTAAGAAGGTGTATTAGTTATCGCGTAGTTATGTGGTAGCCTTGAAGGATCGAAACCGGTCTGATTTCGGAGAGTTCGGACTTGGATGCTACAAATCCTTGCGAATCAGTTTTAACAGCGATTTATAACCGCAGCGATTTAAAATTTCTTTTCAAAACTGGAAATTATAAAAAAATTACTAAGCTTTAATGAATTCTTCATTTTTCGCAGTTCTGAAACAAGCACACATCAGAGTAATCACGTAAATTTTATATTATACAATGAAAACACGATGGTTCTCTTCTTTCACCGTTTATATGGCACCGATTCTTTGAACTCACCGAAACTGCACCAGAGATTTCGATCGTCGATTGACGATATTAAAGATCCAAATCTTTTTCGCGATTTCACGGGGAAAAGCCGGTTCGTCATCGCGCAATGGCACCTACTTGCAATTCTCAGATGCTGCTGCTGCTCGAAGAGAGTGCTGGGAAGACAGTGCTTGCAAGAGAGGCGAAAAACAAGTAGAAGTAGTAGAAGAGAAAGAAGAAGAAAAAGAAGAAGAAATAGAGAAGAATATCGGCATTACCTGCACGCTAAACTCACCAGGGGCCCCTGCCGCTCGTGGGGAATCGGCCTGTGGTCCCGACCGGAAGCGCCCGGAAGTCGCGGTTGGTATCGTGGAGAACGCTCAGCCAATCCCGCGCCACCTCCTTTAGCGAGCGGGGGCTTGGGATTGGCTGCTACTCAGCCTCAAGGCCGCTGCTGATGCTTCTCCTTCTGCCCTTCTCCCAACAGGCCCCGAATGTGCGTTGTGCGCTACATGGCCGCGCGCGGGGCCCAGCGGAGAACAGCGATCGGGGTGGCGACTCCGCGATTCCGCCGCTCTGGAAAAATCCTGGCGCTTCGATCGGATTGTCGAATCGTCGAATGCCGCGGCGGCAAAGAAGCGGCGGAATTGCCGGAATTGTCTCTCACAACCCGATGGATGGAGGTTGCGTGACTTCCGTCGATCGACATCAAACGTCTCTATGTGAATATCCAGCGCATAATATAATATCTCGAGATTCTTCTGAATGTTCAGTAACATTTGGTTTTTCGCCTCGATTAAAATTTCAAAAATGTTTTGCACTTAAAATGAGACTAGTACGTATTTAGTTGAAGAGGGAGAAAACAAAGATGCTAAGTGTAAAAAATGCAAAGAATGCGAATAGGGTTGATATCGGCCGTTATCTATTGCTCCGTGAGAAACAAAGTTATATGACAATTGATCTGTTCTTTTCAGCTCAACTTCTTACATTTATGTTTCTCCTTTTCTGTCTAATATGGAGAGAAAAAGAGAAAAAAATGAATGATGCCAGAAATTGAGCCAAAAAGAACAGACCTAATTACTATTATAATGTTTTTACAATCTCATTACAATTTTCAAGCTTTTTTATTTAGACACATACAAATTTGTTTCATTCTTTTGATTTAATATTCTAAATTCGTATGGTATTGATGGATATTAAAAAAATTTGAACATTCAGAATTGCAATGATCGCTGGATACGAATGTGCTGCGTGGGACAATCAATGAACATTTAAAAATATCCATTGATTCTCCTGAGAGCCGCACGGGACGGCAATCTCGCAATAGGATGGGAAGAGAAGGATCTGCCATTCTACTGGCAATCTTTTTTTTTTCACGAATCCTTACTATCTATCATTTCGCGTGTCGATTTACGTGTCGACGATAACGACCGAGGATAGGCAAGTTGATCATTAATCTATGCCAAATTGGAGTACAGGTTGAAAAAAAAAAGATCTTATAATTTTGTCGCAATGTGTCCAATTAATATATTGATGAATAAATGATAGGCCAGATCACTTTCTCGATTCTGAAGAGTTCGCATAATTTTGCAAAAGGCGTCGTTTAACAATGCGTAAAGTGGGATCTCTGCATGAATGCGTCGGATGCACGTCGAAGTGCGTGGCACGAAACGGCGTGTTGCGTGAGACGGTCGTGGCGAAATTGAATTTTGATTTACCTATGAATTTCACAGGCAAGAGAACTCGGAGAATTTTATTTCGCTATATGCGTATCTCTGCAAAGTACTACGTGAAAGATGAAGAAAGATGAAAATAGAACGAACGTCGACATGCAACTACACTTTCGCGCATTCGAGTCCCGAGTTAAATGATCGGGTCAGTCGTTAAATTTAGCGTATGAAACGATACAAGTATGTGACGCGAGATGTTATATACGGGATATTCCGGAAACCGCGCATACTTCCTTCGCATCTTCCTGTTCAAGTCGCTCTTTCATATGTTTCATGAACTCTGATTTAAATTCTGACAAATACTGACTTTATCATAATCGTTTATATTCTTAGTCTCGATTTTGAACCGCGACGAAGCTGATGATTCTATAATCGCTGGTTCTATGACTATCGACTATACGATTTAATTTTCCGTGCACGTTGACCTGATAATGACGGATGCCTCGAAAGTATCCCGAAGCGACCGCAACAACCGTCTCGCTTCTTAACCAAGGAAGCGCGCGTCTTCGGGTACACCCCGTATAAGTGCATGTAACATACGGCAATTGGCCATGAGTGCGCACGATTCACGGACTGTCGACGACGGTCGGCCCTCTTGCAAAACGAAAGGGCGAGGGGGCTGGTGGTAGTCTCAATCTGGTAGTATTGTAGTAATAGTGGTGGTGGTGGTGGTGGTGGTGGTGGTGGTGGTGGTGGTGGTGGTGGTGGTAGCGGTGGTGGTCTGGTTCGAACCAGCCAGCGAGCTGAAAGAGCTGTTCCTAGATTCTCTCTCCGTCCACGACGACGGGTATAGGCAGTTCGTCGGGTTGCTTCTCTCCCTTCCTTACTTGGGCCGTGTGCGGGGGTGATTTTCGAGGAGACGAAATTCCAGCTTCCAACTGTTGCGCAAATAACGTGGCGCAAACGCAGCCTCGAAGGCGTGGCGATCGACAAAGGGCCCGGAAACGGCCGATAACGTGCCGTTTTCCATTCCCCCTCACCCCACCCTCTATCTCTGTCTGTCTCTCTCCCAATCTTTTTTTTCGCCGTCTCGTTACGCACCACCTGCGGAGTAGGAAGCAGCTTCGCCGTAGAACAAATGAGTAACGCGCCTCGCTCCAGTCGGGAACTCGCGGGACTCCCGGATACGCAATGAGGAAGAGGAGGGCGGCGACGACAGAGGCGGTGGTGGTCGCCTCCTCGATGTGCACGAACGTGTTCTGGAATTCGAAACACACAAGTTGTCTTATCATTTCTGCTGAGAGGAACATCGCTCGTTTCATCGCCTCATCGCTTTCTTCCTTTTTTTCTCTCTCTCTCTTTCTCTCTCTCTCACCGTCTCACGCGACATGCATACGCGTCTCTCTGTTCCTCCATTCTCTCACATACACATACACATACATGATACATGCACATTCTCTCTTTCTTTCTCGCTTACTATCGAGACTGCCCGACGCACTTCTCCGTGACGCACCGCGCAAGATAAAACGGACGCCCGCCTGTCGTCGTTTCTCTCTGTCTCCGTCGGACTGCCGGACGTGTTAGCCTAGAAATCGTCCCGCGCCGAGGCGATCAACCTCCTCGTCCTCTCCTCCTCCTCCTCGTCTTCATCGTCATCGCCGTCCGTCCTGGCACGATGCACCGCGCGATTGATCCCGTCTCGCCGCGCGTGAATTTATTGCTCCCTTTTCCCTTCCTTACACGCACGCACCGCACCGCACGCCCGCGCTGCCGCGAATATCGTGTATCGTGCCTCGACGAATTCGGCGAGGATTTCCAGACGCGACGCCTAAAACGCGGACAAGGCGATCGCGGTGACGAGCGAGGCCGCGCTTGATGCGTCCGCGTCTCGTGACGGACGACTCTCTTGACTCTCTTCGCGCGCCACTCAACGCGCGATACCACGGCGACGGCGACCAACGGCGACCAACGGCGACGGACGATAACGACGCGAGCGACCGAACGGGGAAGTGGGAACGTGGAACTAAGATCGACCTTGGCACCTTGACGCGGTACACTGTACACGTCGCCGGATTGCCGGAGGCAGGTGTCTGCGGGTGTCCCAAGGATCTCCTTCTCGAAACGCGCACGACTGTCGACGGAACACCGACCGCGAGTCGCGACTCTCCTCGCCATGGTAAGCGAGCGCGGCGTCGGTTCGGTGCTTTTTCCTTTTTTTTCCCCCTTTTTATTTTACTCTTTTTCCAATTCGCTCGCTCGCAGTGACGTACAAACTTGTGGTTGCGATCGTGAAATTTTTCTCTGTTCGGAACACGGCACAGTGTGCACGTCCGGGAATTCGACTCGCGAGGAGATGACGTGATCGCGGAGCACGGATCGGCGAAAAGACTCCACGAACCGTTCCTAACCTCAAAATGGCCGTTTCAGGATGTCGCCGCGTTCTCCGAGGACAGCTTCGATGTGAAGGAATGGATCAACCGGACGTTCAAATCCGCCGAAGCGCAGGAGAACAAAGACGTAAGTCGCACCATCCTCGGGCCACCATCCCCGATTTTGTCGATTTCTGTCCCCTGTCGAATCCAAATCACGCTCATCATCGCGACGCCCGTCGGCCACCGAACTGGCTTCCACCGCCAGCGACGATAGGTCGGTGACACCGATCAGTTCTTTTTAAAGACGGTCTCTTTTTTCACACCACCAAAGTTTTCGGCCCTTGCTGAACGATATATTTTTATAAGCTCGCGTATCTCACGCCCAAATTTATGTCACAACACCGTTGGATCATGTACCGACGGACAATAAACTTTTTTGTCCATTCTGCGTCACATACGGCGATGTTTTTTCGTTTTTAGAATAAATTCTTACGCGGATATAATTTTATCGTGTAATTTTGTCATTGAATTATAACATTATCTTTGGCAGTATTTTAATAGTTTTAATGTAAATTAAGCATTGTAAATTAAGCAGCTCATGTATTTCTAACATAATGAGAAGAAGCTAGCAACTAATTATATTTAACCAATTATATTTAACCAATTATAAGAAATATTTTAAAAGACATTTCAATCTCGTATTCTGTGTTATTAATTAATTATGAATTGTTTGATGATTTTATAAAAATATAAGCAACTATCTTTGAAAAAATTTGTGTCACGGCTGAGTATTCTTTGCAGGCTTTTGTTTCATCATTAGTGATGAAGTTGCAATTATATGTGCAACAAGTTAATGGTGCCTTAGAAGAGACTAGCCAATCGGTTCTCTCCAGCTTACCAAGAATTTTAAGAGACACTCAACTCCTGCAGCAAGAAACACTGGCACTAAGAGAAAAAATGATTGCTGTCAAGCAAGAGATTGCAAAGGTTGGTATACCTAATTTTTTAAAATATTTATCTTGATGGTAGTAATACCTTTAGAAAGCAATGAAACCTAGATCGAGAAAGACACGGCTTCTTCTATGGCAATGTTGGAGAAAATCGATAGGATAAAAACGGAATTACAAACTGCTAAGCAAGGATTACACGAAGCCGACAATTGGACAGTATTAGCGAATGATGTGGAAGAGGTATGAAAATTCCAATTGGTTTCTTCACATAGTTCGATATGATATACGATAATTTAATTATTTTGTTTCCTTTAATTTTAATATAACAGGTATTCGAGTCTGGCGATATAGAAGCTATATCTAATAAATTGTTCAGCATGCAGAAATCGCTAGCTATGCTTGCGAATGTTGTCGATTATGAGGATAAAAAGTTGCAGCTAGAAGGCTTGAAAAATCGCCTCGAGGCAATAGCTAGTCCACGATTGGTCCAAGCTTTTACTGCTGCCAATTTAGGTGAAATTTACAAGATCGAAATTAATTCATTTACCTTGCAAGATATGATATTAATGTCATATTTTGTTTAGAACAATCGAAAACTTACGTGGATATTTTTGGTAAGATGGAACGTCTGCCTCAGCTTCTCAAATACTATCACAATTGCTTGAAGGTCTCTTTAGGTCAAGAATGGAGACGCACTATTGAATTAGCACAAGATGAAAATGTTACCTATTGGCTACGCGTATATTATGACAAATTGTTATCCTCTTGGCATGAACAGGTATGCGTGATCTTTATCAGTTCAAAATATGATTATTGCTGCATTACGAATATTTTCTATAACTGTTTATATGTTAAAGGTGAAATGGTGCAATCAAGTCTTTCCTAATACTTCAATAGATATTCATGTCGAGGTTTACGCTGACCTTTTAAAAAGCCTCGATCCGAGTATTTCAGAATGTATAGAGGCGATTCTCAAACAACATTCGAATTCGGTGCAGTTGACCATTCTACACGAATTGAAACAGATGACAAAGTATTTTGCTACAAATCTTAACGGTGCTATCGAAACGTCTCTTCGCGGAAAATTGCAGAATGAAAAATTATTGTCACTAGCGCAAGCTGTATACGCACCTTACGTTCCTTACATTGCGAAATATAACACGTTCCAAACTGCACAGTTAGAACACCACCTACAGTTTTGGCATCATTCACATGATGATTTAAGCGATACTATCAACTCCCTTTCTCTTAGTATTTCGCGGATTATGGGCTATGCTAGTGACGCTAATAAGCAATGTAAGCTTTTTACAGAAGGTTGTGGATATCCCGGTTTACTGCAATCGTTAAATGTATGTTTATATTAAAGATTTTTCGCTTATGTCAATGCCATGGTTATAAAATGAATTTCTTATTAAGCTGAACATCTATGTTGTAGATTTTTTTCAACAAATACCTTGAGAAATATCAACAAGGTCTGAGACAACTTGAGAGAAAGAAAGTGAAACATGAAGATTGGAATTTATTCCAAATGTGTCTTACGTTGATGCAAAATATAGGTAAATATATAAATTTTAGCAATCAATTTTGTGTATGACATGAACGTGAAATTAATATAAAATGTTTAAATTGTATTACTGTACAGGTGATCTTTTGCATCAAGTTCAACAATTTGAAAAATCGCTCGTGATCGACATAACGGAAGCTAGTAATAAAATACAAAACACAAACGGTAGTGTTTTCTGTCAGTATAAAAAATTACTCTTAACTTCGACAGGATGCGCTGATCTAGAAAATCTTGTTGCATCTTTCCAAAGAGGTATGTATACGCGCGTAGTAATAATAATTATAATGTTACGAGAAAACAAATTATCTAATTTCTTGTTTTTTTTGCAGAGGATAAGACAATTCTCGATTCCATTATAAAATCTATTCAAAAACTGTGTACTGATTTACATCATATCACATACGAAGTCATTTTTGCGCCAATATTCTCTCAACTATTGTTGGTGCAAAAGGCACCGGCTTGGACATTGGAGGCTAATAAAATGTCCAATCTAAGTTCAGATTTACCCGATTATAGTTTCGCCCCTCAAGAATATATCACACAAGTCGGACAGTATTTAATGACGTTGCCACAGCACTTGGAACCATTTCTGTTGAGGGACAATCCAAGTTTAACGCAAGCGTTGAAGGCAGCGGATCCACAATATGTTCAAGGCTCAAGTGAATCTGGATTTACTAGTATTCTTTTGGACATTATTGCCCGAGGAACGTGTCAAATGTTCCAGGATCAAACCTTAGGCATCTGTCAATTGAATTCCGTTGCTTGCAAACAACTCGCAACTGATATTGGTAAAGATCTTTCATTATCTTTAACTTTATAATTTCTGAAGGAACTATGAAGGGATATAAATGAAAGTTATTGTGTATTGTAGATTATCTGGGCAATGTACTGGAGGAGCTCGGTCTGTGTTTATCGGAAAATCTTCAACACATGTCCTTACTGTTGAGATTACCATCCGAAGATTATCAGAACGGTAGCTCCGGATGTAATGCTCGTGTTGTAGCTGCAGTCAGACAAATGCGCAATATTACGTCTTCCGGCTGACACAGTCCGTGTCAAACTGGACACGATTTCACAATGTGAGAAATTTCGTTTACTATTCCATATTTTTAGTAAAACTAATGATTTCGCGCGCGATATTTGTACAACATATTTGCATATATTATTCTATAATTGTAAAAAAAATAAAATCATGTATAATATTATAATATATATA